TAATTGCCAGCTTCTATTTGCAATGATTAGATCCATATCATTATAGACTACTAGCAATAGAATTGAGGGTGAACTCACACCATTAACAGAGTGGAGAAGGATCATTTGTCAGGCAAATATTCTGCTTAAAGTCTGTTCCCCTCCATACCACCATTCCCCAATTTCACTGGACACTGGAGGAAAGAGTGCCAACATGATACCATAAACACACAACACTTGTACCTGGAGATTCATCATTGAACCTTTGACATTTGAAATATCTTGTCCCATCAAGCTTCAGCAAGCTTTATGGAAAGTGCGTTCATTTTCAAGCATTAGTCCAAGTTTCGATTTCCCGAGAGGGTAGACAATGTGAGCCGCTGTCCTCCCGTCCCATGGCGTGGAGGCTAAAAGCATGAAGGCCTCTGCTCACTTTGAACTTGTATCGTTTTACTGAACAAAGTTGATTTGTCGACAAACACATTAAGCCACGACAACTTACACTTCCTCGTCCATCATTCAAATCCTGTTTGCTATCCCCTGGTGGCCTTTCTTTCTGAAGTACATTTAAATAGACCTTAGAAGTCGTGGTGACCTTGCTGACAGTATCTTTCTGTAAATTTTCTGTAAAGTGCTACTAGTAACTGAATTTCTAAAGTATTTTGATATTTGTATTATAGCGCACGGATCCATGACTGAATGTTGTATAATGATGACAACGTGTTACCGGGCGTGTGATTAGAGCGTTGCGTTCGACAATCGAGTGTAGAAATGTCAAGGTGACTGGTGGGGTATTCATGCTTCATGCAGTATGAGCACTATAAAACCCTTAAGTCTGAGCACTATGACACGACATAATACAGGTCCAAACCTGGGTATTTGTACTTTGAGATGATCCTGCATCAGAACATATACCCTACTGGATGGGGTCCTGGACGGGTCTTGAGACCCTGAAACCCCAATAAGAAGAAAAGCATCTGATACTGGTGGGAGTCTTTCCCAACAGGAAGACAAGCATCTGGCGTGAGTCTTTCTGACCTGGAGTTTCTTTGCTTATTGTTTACCGCTGCAGTCATTAATGGTTCAGCTTTATGACTGTAGTCTGTAACTATCTAATCAGGATCGAATAATCCAGTGATTGACATGATAAGGATCGGGATACGATGATATGCATCCATCAAGCCAGTCAGCCTGACCACACGCTCCAGTAAGTCACTTCTCGCAGGTCTAACCGGATCTTCACGGTTTGGAAACCCGAAGACAACACTGAGACATTTTTAAGTGAACTTGCTTACACATGTCGGGTACTTAAAACCCATTCTGTTTCTGCAAATTTATGAGAAAATAACACAAGGTATTAGTAGCACGTCTGTCGTGGAATATCCACTCGGAGATGCCTATGGGTTCCTGAGACTTGGTATGTTCTGCAGCTGCCCAGTGGACTTGCGGCTGGTACATCACCGAGGTCAACCAAGTATGGGGTACATGTTCTACCCAAGGATCCCCAAGAGAGACATTCATTGTTGGAAACCCTCTCTGTCCTGGAATCCCTTTAGTTGGTATTATTGGTGATGAAGTAGGCGATATGCGACAACATGCTACTTGTCACAGGTTGGAGAGGCAACAGCAACTGCGGGCGTATACCCTAGTTGTGTCCTACTGACATAAGTGACTGGTTTGTGTGTGTACTTGGAATACAGAGCACAAAACCCGCCATGGTTGTATCGATGCATGTGTCAGTGCGTGAGTGTGATTTTACAGCGCGTTTGGCAATATTCCAGCATTGTTACGGAGAGTACAAGAACGGGATTAGGAGGTTTGCCCATTTCAGAATCAAACCATCACCTGCAGAGCCTGACGACTGGACACTTTAACCACTCATCTTCTTCATGTTTCATGGACACGTTTTATATTAACTGCTTTTATTCTGAGTAGATGGAGATAGTGAAGTTGGTAGTAATCCTGTTGTAATTCTACACGATAAAGCCAATCATCAAGCGCTCGATCTACAATTACAGGGAGCCATTCAGTGATCGTTCTACACGTTAAACGTAAGCATCCATCTGTCATTGGATAGCCCAGTCCTGTCATATCGGGATTGTTCTACACCATAAGGTCGTCAACAAGTGGTCCGTCTACAAGTTATAGTGTTGCACATTAAATGTAGTCATGAAGCGGCCCTTCTTGAAGTTATAGGTAGTCAAAGAGTGGCCATTCTACAAGTTATAGGTAGTCATTAAGTTATCGTTCTATAAGTTTAGGTTGTCATAAAGTCGCCGTTCTACAAGTTATAGGTAGTCATTAAGTTATCGTTCTATTAGTTTAGATAGTCATAAAGTCGTCGTTCTACAAGTTATAGGTAGTCATTAAGTTATTGTTCTATTAGTTTAGGTAGTCATAAAGTCGTCGTTCTACAAGTTATAGGTAGTCATTAAGTTATCGTTCTATTACTTTAGGTTGTCATAAAGTGATAGTCATACGAGTAGTGATTCCACAAATTGAAGGTTGTCATCAAGCTGGCCGTTCAAGACCTTGAATGAAAATATGGAGCGACCTTTTCAAACGGTTTTCGTTGTCAGCCCTTGTCTATATATTTACACAGTCAATCGTTATTTTGTGAGATACGTGTTTACAAACACACTGACCTGACACAGCGGGAACTCCACTGTGACCTAGTTAAGCCACGTGTTACTTTAGATCTTCCCGCCTACAAGTATGAATAACTGTCTTTAAGAGACAAGAATGGAATAAGGGGATGTGCACTATCCAGGGTGTTTTCCAATCGTTACATTGTGATGAAAGACCAAAGATCGTCATCATGGACATTCATTCACTAGTCTCTGAATGTATATGAATATTTGAATGAAACAAATAAACCCATATAAAAAGTCAAAAGGAGCCCCAGTCAGATGGGAAATTCAGAGAATATTAACATTCCATTTTAACGATGGTGATGAAGATGGTCATCAGGGACAATCATTGTTTGAATAAATAAAGCGGATCCTGGAACAGCTAAAGGACACACGTCTTCACAGCAATTTACAGCCTTCGTCTAGCTGCTAACAAGTGCTTAGTGTCCTGAATTGGAGCATGACGAGTGCGACCATTAGGGCAGGACATGATAATCCTTGTCGCACCTGGCCTCGTCACTGTATTCTGGACCAGAGGCGTGTTACTGAAATAAGCCTGTCCGTCTGTCTGTCTGATTATTCTATGGTGTTCACCATCTATATAATAATCTGATATATATGCGCCCCATAGTTAGAGTTTGTTTGCAGTTTGTCACACGAATTGGATTAATTTACCACATAATGGTGTTTGACCAACAATCACCTACACTCTGACATTCCCTTCGTAATTGGTCGGAAAGGCTGAGGTCAAATTTGGAATGGATGTATTCGTGTCTGTTTGCAACATACCCAGGTTTAAGCTAACTGGTTCATGGCTGAAGCTACAGAATGACGTTATACGCCGTTTGGGAACTTGTATCTTATTTCCCATCACATATTAATCATCTAGTAACAACATCACCGAATCCAACGCTTTGGTTCCTGAAAATCGTTTATAATTAAAAGGCACAATCCGTTGAATTGAATTCAAAAGATCGCGTTGAGAACTATTTTTCTTATCATCATCTTTATTATCTTTAATATAACCATCTTAATAAATCATGTTACTACATAAACAGCCTTGAGGTGATGGTATATTCAGCAGTGGATACTAATCTCCTTAAAGTGTTGGCATGAGAAGAAAATCTAAATGTTATGATCTTCAATTTTTTTCTGGCGGACATGATTGTAAATTCAATGATAAATTCTAATTATCGTATTATAATGTTACTTTTGAAGGTGCCATTCTCATTTCTTTTGTTCCATTATCAATTTAACTGTTTTGTTATGTCCATATTGAATGAATGAATTAATTAATTAATTAATGACACAGTGTCTACCTGTTATCATGTGCTGTAGATTGTGCGTTATTCGCGGTTGTTCAAACGTTCACTCTAGACGCCGAAACCCGGCTTTGATTCCCACATGGCTAACACTTGTGACGATCATTTCTCGTGTCCCCATCCGTGGTATTCCTTGAATGATGCTAAAAATAAATGACATATGCAAGAAAACATATGAAATATGACAGTGTGGTAATGAGGACTTGATAGGAATTTCAGAAAATATCCTTTTATCCTTTCTCGGTAAAGATTGAAATTAACTTTTCAATCATTCCGAGACATATTTAGTTGTGTTAAATTGATGGTAAAAAGCTTCACATGGGCACTACCAAATGTAATATCGATACGGAAAATGAATAATTGCTCTCTTACAAAAATATAATCCACTCTATATAGTCTCTCACATTTCGTCAGATATATCTATACTTGAGCGATAAAATGCTATACAGTAGATTGGCATGTGGTCAGGCAGATGAACCGCAAGGTTTTACAGTAATGCCGTAAAACTTCATTACTGATCGACACATTCATCCTCCAAAACTGATATGTCTTCGGAGATATTGAAAAACTCATTTTGCTTTGCAGGCAAAATATGTGATTTACAAACAGAAAAGGTAGGAACAACGATTTCAGATGACAAATATAAACTACTCCGTGTCTCTTGATATTCGTCACATCAACACCTGGCAAGCCTGGGAGTTGCTTTCTTGCATCGTCTCGCTGGGTGAGATTTGCTGCTTCAGGAAAATCCAAAGATATCTGCCCCTTGAGTCAAAACCCAACGTGACAACCGTTCTCATTTACAATATGGCTTCAGTCTCAGTCTCAAGATCTTTGGCGACAAGATACCAAACATCAAGGGTCTTAATCATCCTATTTCTAGTCGAGGTTTACACGCTGCAAATGTCACGACATGATCTGTACGTTTAGGGTAATCATATAATGATACATTATTTCAGATAATTAGAGAGTGTTTGTCTTACGGGAAACGGTATTGTGGGAACAGTATTGGCGCTGCAACTATAAGTCATGAAAAATACATAAACAGTAGAAAACAACAAATTCTGTATTGAGTGCAAAACACTTTGTATTGGGTGCAAAACTCAAAATCTGCAATCATTACTAAAATGTGTAATCGTTATCACTGAAGCTTTCAAATACTGCAGAATATCATGATATGTATCTTTGGTACCAGGGTCAGTGTTGAAACATCGCGCATGTAGCCAACGGAATATTAAAATACACAAACTTGAGTTCACAGAACAAATACTCTGCTCATTCTACACAAGGATACACTGTGGATATCCCCTTAGGCGAATGTTCTAGAGAGGTTGGATGAAGAGTAGGAGTTACGTTCAGCCCAAAGAACATGTGATGCTGACATGATACGGCCTGAAAGCCACACTTACTCTAAATCACGTTGAAGAGACTGTAAGACTGACAGAAGGCGCCAACAGTCGTTGTCATTTGTGATATTTTCGAGATCTGAGATACAAAGAATTCCCAAAACTGTATCCCTCAGATTCATGTTCTTGTCTGAGTAGTATTTCCCTAATTTACGGAACTCTTTTAATAATAACACAATGCCCAATTACAAAACTCCAAATTAAAAATAAATAGAAACCTGTTTCTATCATAACTATCCGTGTACTGTTAAGCTATCAGTATCACAAAATGAATCATACAAAGTATTAAGTTCACACAAGATCCGCATTCGGCTCCAGAACACGTACAGATGTGCGTTATGAAAATTGGACTCTATTGGTACTGTAAATATATCCAATCACAATATATAGAAGCTGTACAATTGTCTTATCTCATTCTCAGAGAATAAGTGTAGAGCGGTATATCTTCCTTTCAGCATGGTGAAATCCTATAAGGACAATTCAGTTATGTCACACACACAATCACCAAATGTGTCTATTGTTGTATTTATCACTCAAACAAATACACCCGGATTCAGGACTGTACTCATCAGCAATATCTGAATGCAAGACTTGACACAGCAGACACTTTCACTCTTATATGCATTAACAGATTGGTCACAGTGACTTCTCTGTGTTGCTTTTTATCATGCCATGCCTTTCAAAACACGTAAAGTCAGCCATGTTCGTCACTGCATTGTTATGTGGCACACATTACTTGGCGATGAAGTATTTCAATAACAGGAGCATCTGAAGTTGAATCTGACAAATAGCAGATCTAAACCCCAGGTGATGAATCCCGAGACTGTTGATTGCAGATATCAGTCATCATTTCGACTTTGCCGTGGGAAAAACGATCACAACCAGGGCAACGGAATGTCTAGTTAATTCACCAGTCCAATAAGCTTCAGGCTCTGAAGCCAAAGGATCTTTCTTCATTTGTACAAAACATCACAGCCAGTATCTGACAGGTTATCCGATTAGAACATCACGCACGGACAGCTAATGACTGATCTCACCACATTGCAACTATCTATCTTTTGTTCCACTTTTTTGGGCAGTCATATTTCCGAGTCCTCTTCCATCGTCCATTTCAACGCAAGCGATGTTGTACATTCCCAGTCAGACTTCTGGGTCGTCGGGCATGTTGACTGAGAAGGTCAGCTCAGTGGGCAAATCCACGCTTTCCTTGCTACTCGCACGTGCTTCCAGGCCACTTTCATCGCGTGTGGAGCTTGATCGACGTAGCAGACGACTTCCGGTGTAGTTGATATGGCTGTATTCAAACGTGATTCCTCCGAGGAGAGCGCCGAGAATAGGACCAACCCAGTAGACCTGAAAATATATGCTTAATTCCCTTAGAACATTAACACTACTCGTGTACCATTAGGAAATTAGCTTAACACATTAAGGCTATGTCACGTTAACGAGAAAACTGTCTCAGTCGTCAAATGGAAATAGTCAATGATTAGTGGTAATACTTCCATTGTTACCTGTCTAGATTTAAAACAAAGCTAATTTGTAGACTTCCGCTCGATAGCGGAGAGATGTACAAAACTTTCCCTCTAATCCCAACTGCGCCGTTAGTATCGAAAAATAGTGAACCGTGTTCAGTTATCTGACATATCTCAGTAATTATGCAAATAAAAAGATTTCTGTGTTCGTTGGTTAAAGGGATCAGACAGCTTGTGACAGGAGATGTGCCTCCTTCATTAGTGCCCGGATGTGACAGGATGTCAATACAAACCGCCCCATGTTGACTTTCACATCCTACATAGAAATACCAATGTCTGCAGCGTTTGTTTCTGGTCAATAACTTAACGTCTATCGTACGGTAGAATACGCCTCACAGATTTTGTTGGTTAATGACATATCTGTTGAAACTACACTCAGCCCTCGTAGACAGTTTTGTCACATTTCAGTATGTTTCCAGTCTGAAACCAATACAAACTTTAAACAATTGAACGGAAGGCTGACTAGTTTATTTGATAACTGGTGTCTGAGACCTTTTAAACCCGTCTTTCATATTGTTCCTGCAGAAGACAGATGTTCAAGTCAATTACATGTTGCAGAGAACATTTCTGCTCAACGCGCTTCAGGACGTCGCATTCAGAGCTTTTTGTGCTTTTCATTTATCTCAGTATTTTTTATGCTCGATAATCAAAATGTCAATGTACAACTTCGACAGAGTTGACATTATCGCGATAGAGCGACTGTTCAATTGTACTGATTACATTTTTGGTTTTCAACAGCATAAGCTCTTGGTGTCCTTGCATTTCGCACAGTACATCAATGCTATAAGAATTAAGCTATATCAAGACGTAACGGTAACAACAACAGTCTGAAAATATATAACATCATGAAAGACCATGGTTTGTATTGGAATTCACTTTCCAGGGGTCAACACAATTGACAAAACACAATGTAGATTCCTATCGTACACTGAACAGAACTCTTGAACTCTCCAGGTTCCCATCTGACACTCAACAAGAATCTTGACGTCTCACTGGTCCCATATCCGTTACCGAGTGAGAGTCTGACCATCTCTAGTGGACCCTATCGACCACACTGCACCCAACAAGTGTCTACTGACCACTCAAGGTCTGTTCCTTAATGTGTTAACAATACCGGTCAGCACACATTGGTTCTATAGACAACTTAATGAGGGAAGTGATTGTGAGATATGAAGTTATCTACTTAGATTGTATCGATTGTAGGCGGACAGGTCGACCCCGTCACCTCATACCGCCAATGTCTGACCAACATTCTCCCGTAATCGAATCCAGTAATTTCCATTGAACATAGACCCCTTGTGTGTTCCGACAGTATTTTGACACAATGAGATGTTGATGAACCACAATGAATAGGACTGAGTAATTGTATATAGAGTTGTTTATATACGGGGCTGATCGGATATTGTTACCTTGACATTAACGTTCTCTTAACCGTTATTTGAGGCAAGAAAATAACATTTTAGTGAAAAGCGAGGTGAATTGGAATGGGTGTTAACGTTGCTTTCAAGACTAGTGAACCCACTAAGATAGCATATAATTGGGACACTGACACTGAAACGACCACGCCTTGTGTTATTCCCTGAACACTGAGTTCCATCATTTGACATTTTTTGGTATGACGTGGCCGAGACCAGAACCATAGACTCTCTATTCTTCAGGCTGACTTTCTACCCACTAGACCAAGATGGTCTGCACGCACTCAGTGTAGTAAAGGGCACACTAGAGCACACTTTTATCAACATCTCTATCACCCAGAAGTTTAAGATGTTTTGTGAGTACAGGGTTTTTTACACTTTCGATTCATTTAGCTTCGGACATTTTTGTTACCCTCATCAACACACCAAAAATAATAACTCCAAGGCATTGATGTCGCTACTTTCTTCTCAGTCACCCATTCCACAACACTGGGATCACAAGGGAATGTCTACTTGCTCGGAGCCTGGTCCATACAATCAGCTATCACGCCATAGCATCAATCACACGCCATCTTTTTCAAATACTGTTCATATGCACGGAATCCATATTGGTGGAAGCCCCTGCGTCTGCAAAATCTAGTTTTAATCACACCTTTATTCCTCATCTATCAGCTACTGGCTCCCTTCATCCACCAAGGGATGCATCACCGACATCAATATCTCCAGGCCAATGTTTTAATTGCCAGCTTCTATTTGTAATGATTAGATCCATATCATTATAGACTAGCACTAGAATTGAGAGTGAACTCACACCATTAACAGAGTGGAGAAGGATCATTTGTCAGGCAAGATTTTCTCTTTAAAGCCTGTTCCCCGTCCATAGCGCCATTCCCCCATTTTACTGGACACTGGAGGAATGAGTGCCAACATGATGCCGTCTAAGCTCATAAACACACAACACTTGTACCTGGAGATTTATTATTGTACCTTTGACATTTGATAAGACCTATCCAATCGAGCTTCAGCAAGCTTTGTGGAAAGTGCGTTCATTTTTCAAGCATTAGTCCAAGTTTCGATTTCCCGAGAGAGAAGACAATGTGAGCCGCTGTCCTCCCGTCCCATGGCGTGGAGGCTAAAAAGCATGAAGGCCTCTGCTTACTTTCAATTTGTATCGTTTTACTGAACAAAGTTGATTTGTCGCTTAACATATCAAGCCATGACAACTTACACTTCCCTCGCCCATCATTCAAATCCTGCTTGCTATCCCCTGCTGTCCTTTCTTTCTTAAATATATTTAAATAAACATGGTTCAGCAAGCCCAACAAGAAGACGATCATCTGATAATCTGAATCTTTCTGACCTGGAAGCCCTAAGTTTGTTGGCTTATTGTTCATCGCTGCACTCATTAATGTTCCAACTTTATGACGGCTGTTTGTAAATATCTAATCTGGATCAAACAGTCCAAACAATGTACGCGTCAGCGGTACGATGACATGCATCAAACAGGTCATCAAGTCTGACCACACTTCTTGGGTTGCTGAAGATCAATTCTAATCGGATCTTCACAACACTAAGACATTTCTCTGAAATTTGTTTACACACCTCGGGTACTTAAAACCCATTCTGTTTCTGCAACCTTATGGGAAAATGAACTCAGCGTATTAGGGGCCCTTCAGTCATGGAATATCAACTCGGAGATCTCCGTGGGGTCCTGCAACTACCTAGTGGACTGGCGGTTGGTACATCATCGAGCCTAAACAAGTATGGGGTATGTGTTCTACCCAAGGATTGGTGATAGGGATAGGGGGATACATGACAACATGATACTGGTAACACGTTGAACAGGCAACAGCAACTGCGATCGTGTCCAACTGACACTGAAGTGACTGGTTTGCCTGTTCTAGATGCGTGAAGCATTCCTATAAACAAGGTGTGCTCCAGCCTCTGAACTAGTACAACTATACCTGAGATTCAATAATATAAAATAAAAATCGCTTTTAACAAGTTACGATAATATATCATATCGATAGGCGCGAAACTGAAATAGCCAGAGACGTGTACTCACCCAATGATCCCTCCATTCGTTGCAGACAATGGCGGGGCCGAGTGACCGAGCTGGGTTCAGACTGGCGCCCGTGTACTTCCACTGTGGCAAAGAAAGATGTAATAACAGACGTCAGAACCTTCAAGCTGCACGGAATTCCTGTGATTCTTAATTGCGAATGTATTGGTTGCAGGTACTTTAATGTCAGAGCAGAAAAATCCCCATGGTTGTATCGGTGCATGTGTCCGTGCGTGAGTGTGATTTGACAGCGCGTTTGGCAATATTCCAGCAGTCATGTAGAGCACAAGGGATTCGTAAATTTGCCCATTTCGGAATCAAACCTTGACCTGTGGCGTTAAACGTTCTACGTAATCATCACACGCGCGTTCTACAATTATAGGTCGCCATTCAGTGATCGTTTTGCATGTTGAAAGTAATCATCGAGCACTCGTTCTACAATTACAGGTAGCCTTTCGGTGATTCTTCTACACCATAAACGTCGTCACAAGTGATCGTTCTACAAGTTATAGATTGTCCCTAAGTGATATCTTTGTACCTTAAATGTAGTCATCGAGCGGCCCTTCTAGAAGTTGTTTTTATCCTCTGAGTGATCGTTCTGCAAGTTGTAGGTAGCCATTAAGTTATCGTTTTATAAGTTTAGGATGTCATAAAGTGGTCGTTCTACAATCAACAGGTAGTGTAGTGATTCCACAAATTGAAGGTTGTCATTAAGTGGCCGTTCAAATCAGTTACCATGGTGATGAAAGTGAGAGACCGTAAGTACTTTGAACAGTATTTTAGTAATATCATGGGCATCAGCTTTCTGTGGCCACCAAGTCCAAACGGACACAGGTCGAAGGCACGCATTATTCACCATGATGCCATATAGCTCAGGGCTCCGTTGTTCAAAACAACCTTATCTCTTAAGGTCAACCTTATCTCTAAGATTACAACCTTAGACCTTTACTTTGGTTAGCCTCCCGTTGCACGAAACAACCTTAACTAAGGTTAACCTTAAGTTAAGGTTGATAACTAAGGTTGGTCCGACCCAACCTTAGCGTCTCTAAGGTTGGGTAGGGAATATGGCGGCTGCTTTTATATAAGGAGATTGATACTGGTACGATAATGAAAGACCAAAGATCGTCATCAGGGAGATTCATTGTTTGGATTAAACAATTCGGATCCTAGAACGGCTAAGGGCCACAAATCTACACAGATATTTGCGGTGTTCGACTAATTGTGCTCAATGTGCTGAATTGGTTGTTAAAGCCTAATTAGGTTCGGACGGTACATGGCGGGTGCGATTCGTAGGGCAGGACATGCTAATCGTTTTCGCGAGCACCTGATGTATTCACTGATTATTCTATCACATTGGCATATGTCATAGTTTGACCTACAATCCACTAAACTCTGGCATTCCCTTCGTAATTGGCTGCAAAGGCTGAGTTCAAATTTGGAACGGGTGTATTCTTGGTGTGTTTACAATATACCTGGATTTAAGCTATAGGTTTTTTTGTTGAACATTGTGTCGTTTTACGCCGTTTGGGAACTTGTCCAGTACTCGATTTCACCAAGGGTAGAATCAAACCTGGCCAATATGTCATCCGCATGACCACCCCAACGTCCCTGAACTGCTGGAATTGGAACTGACAAACTCGGTTCTTTTTATTTATATCTCATCACACATTCATCATCATGTAACGCCATCACCGGATCAGTTCGTTTGATACAAAGCTTTGGTTCTCTTAAACTGAATAAAAAGATCGCGTTAGGTACTTTTTTTTCTAATTAACATCTCTTAAGCTCATTTTGTTGCTATCATTATCCATCTTAATAACTCATGTCACTACAGACGCCGCCTGCGGCGATGATATATTCAGCAACGGATACTAATCCCGTCAAAGCGTGATGAGAAAAACATGTAATATTACGATATTCAAATGCCTGGCTGACATGATTGTAAACCCAATGAGAAATTCACAGAGAATCGTATTGTAATTTTACCCTTGAAGGTTTAATTCAAATTTAATTTGTTCCAGTATTAATTTCCCTGTATTAGTTTTGTCCACGCTGATATAGCACGTGCAGCGGAGGGCCATCTTGTTAAGGGCTTTTGAGTGAGTGAATGAGTTTTACGCTTTTAGCAATATTCCAGCAATATTCCAGAAATATCACGGAGGGGGACACCACACATTGTACCCATGTGGAGAATCGAACCCTGGTCTTTGTCGTGACGAGCTAACGTTTTAACCACTAGGCTACACCACCGCCCGAATGAATGAATGCATATGGTTGTTACCTATCATGATGTGCATGGAATTCGGCGTTAATCACAAATGATGATGAATGCAAGGGTATCAGTGAAAGTTCTAAGTACAACGGTTCAAATATCAAAGAATGCAAATGCTTATCTACAAAGATTCTCTTTAACTCCGAAAACAAGACACCTTTGATATACACTTACCCCGAATGTATGACCAATCGCAATTGCGAGACCCGCTGGTATAACTTGGAAGGTACCCGTCGCTAGATGGGGTGGGTCCATACTAGAGAAATATGCAAACACAAGGACAAATGTGATGAGGAATTCGATTCCGAAAGCTTGTCCACTCTCAATGTCTGAATGCACAGAGGTCACGCCAAGATATTCATGCTGGCGGGCAGGGGTAACTCCATACAACACCCCGGCTCCAGCGATCCCTCCCAGGCATTGAGCAAATACATTAAAAAACGCTGTGATGATGTCGATTTTGCGGGTGCACAACATTGCGATGGTAATTGCTGGGTTCATCTGTGCAGGAGAACCCATCCTCAGTGAACAGTGAAGTAGCGTTACTGTCGTCATCCCGAACGTAACGGCAGCTTTCAGTTCATCAGTACTGGCTTTACAGCGGGTGTTGGCCGTGATTGTGGCACCACACCCAAACAGGACGTAGAAGGTTGTCAGAAGGAACTCGGTCTTCACTGACCTCCAGAAACTTACGCTTCTGACAGTGTGAAAGAGGTTATCCATGATCTGGGCAAACGACATCTTGGCGGGTAGTGGAATCGTCTTTTAATCAGAGATAATAACGATATAGATTATAAAAGCTGACACTAATGTGTCGTTTCGTTACAGAGACAACGATCTACTTCCACATTTGGATCAATCTGCGTCGTTAAACTCAACCCTCTTTTAGAACGTCATCCTGGTCATAAATGATGGAGTTCGAAAGAATTCCACAAAAATTCCCTCAAATATTCAAGCACTTGTGTGCTAAAAACAAAACAAGCACTGATGTGCCAGAATTTCAAAGCACTGATATAACAGAAACCAAAAGCACGGTTTATTCGAGAGAGTGCCTTTAACGAAACCGCTTCCGGGGTTATCTTGTGCGGGTTATCCCTGCAATATGGTATCAAACAATCATGTGAGAGTACGCCTATACTATTTCGCAATGATTTCAGCTTGTATATGGCAATACCTTGCGTAGAGTATTCAAACACTTGTTCAAATCAAACAACAATTGAGTGATGCACCTTTAACACCACAGTGGTGGTTCTGTATGGGGTAATTCCCTCGCTCTGAATACATTGATATTCACACACCAGAGGTGGAATCGTGAGTATTGAGTCTGGTAGTGTTCCAGACGACCAGTGTAGACCAACTTGCAGACTGGATTACACAAGCCTCACTGCGGATACCAGTACATCGGAATCCCCTCCCATAACACACTCTTGGTCAGGTATGTGTCAGCGTATTATCAATCCTTGTGGAATCAATACCACGGTGTGCTTCTACGTGAATCTCAGAAGCAAACACAGAATATCCCGGATAAACAATCTCTGTCATGGGAACTCTTTCCATAGAATGCCACAGTCTTGGTTCATACAGACTTGCCGATTTCGCAAAACTTTCTTACAATGGTCAAACCTTGAACTGGAACGTAGCCTTCGTTCAAGAAGAAACTTAAAATCGAACTGGCGTCTAGAGAAACGTGCTTGAAAATTCTGCCATATTGTAAAATAATGTTTTCATCTTCGTTGCTTGTACCTGTGTGCTGGAAGCTGTATTACGTGTTGGTGGCTCTGAGATGCACATTAAGTTCCAGCTTCTCTTTGAATCCAGCGATGACGACTTGTTCATTCCATTAGCAGATTATACAGTACATCCGTGACATACTTGACTCAACGCGGCGGCGGCTGGCTTTCTACCATGGAAGTACGGGATAACAGGAATTGTCTCTCGTGGTAAGTAATCCCGGAATTAATGCGGCTTTATGTTTCTGAAACTGGCGACTGCTTCTGTTGTCGAAGCCAGTAGTGTCGGCAGGTTCTCCATTGGCAATACAACACGGATACACTGTTCCGAATCCATTAGAACTGATAGGAAGTAGATGTGTGTTGCTGTTGTCCGTGATCACGTGCGGACGACATTTGAATCGGTTGCTGCGAGCAGACGACACTTGAATTTTCTACGGCCAGTGTCTCACAGCAGACATTACCGCCAAGAGACGATTCCTTTTACACACTGTATGATCAGTGATGGAAGTGACTCGCACACTAGGAAGTTCTTGTGTTGTATTATCCCTGATCACAATGCAAGCCATAAAACCGCTGTACCACTAGTAGCTCACATTGTCACTGAGACCGGTGAAAAAACTTTCAAACTTGGTGAATACCATCAATAACGCCTCCGATCGCTCGACCACCGGAGTGATAAATCGCCTGGAATAATATCCGTCCAATCTATTCTCCCCACTGGCGCGGAGAAGATAGTTATTTTAAACTTTTTACTTGTGTTATGGTGGAGATAGTTGACGCTACCTTGACAGTAGTTTCCGACGGTGTTGTCGTCGCCGTGAGGTAGTGCAGTCACCGCCCCTCACAGTTTAACTTGACAGACTTCAGCGTTCTTACGCCGGTAATGATAAGATCAATACCCACTGCAGGCGACTCCTCTCGCCCCTAGCTCATCTCAACACAGTTAATGTGCCCACGTCACCCGAAGTTACTCAACCTTACACCTAATGCAGCGGGACAGACCATGCATCTCTGGAATAGGCAAGTTAGCTGCAAACAGGTTCATCAGCAGGCACCAGGCTCGCTGCGTCACTTCATGCTACAAGTCCGATGTTATTACTGCGTTTTATTGGCTTTTATCTCTGAGGATAGGAGTCCTTCGGCAAGTCGACGAGCGAAGAAGCTCTAAGCCTTAATAGACACTGGCTGTCCTTAGCTCCCATTGGTTTAGGGGACATCAGACCGCAATTTCCAGAATTTTAAACACTTTTCAATAATTAGTTTGGCCGATGTAATGATCGGTTTCGGTGACAAATATGAATTCCATTTTGATGTTGCAGGAAAATGACGCAGGTGTTGTTTTTTTGCGCTGTTAAATGGTTTTGTTTAAGGGGGAAAGGAATCGAAGAATGGAAATTACATGAAGAAGTACTGTCCAAGAAAGCTGTTCCTCCTATTAACTGTGATTTTGCGGATGGCTTGAGGTTTAGTTATTATTGCATGAAGTAACTTCTTTTATTGTTGGCACATGGGATGATAGCGTTCGAGGCACTTAAGCGTGGTCGCGTATTTAATTGAGGTGTTGGGATTAGAACAAATATTCTATAAGGGCATTTAATCCTCATCATTTTAACTTTGCACAGTATAGTGCGATAATTGGACTGCAGTGCATGGAAGTTGATGTGACATTTTTAAATAATACCGCATGACAACATAATTTGTTTGGACAGTGAAATAAAACACTGTTCGTATGGTCTAGAATAGATCGAGACCTATTTCCTTTTATATTGATCCAGGAATTCGATATTGACGAGAAAACAAGGTTTATGTTCACACATTATTAGGAATCATAGTGGTCTCATCCCTTATCTTCCAGTATCCGATGATCATTAGTTCGAATTCTAGATGTTCCAACTGTTTATCCTTGATGAGTAAGTATGGTAGTCACTCGCCACGGAGGCCAAGGTGGCTGGTTCGATTCCCAGCCGCGTCATACTAAAATACAAACACAAGCCTGTGGGAGTCGGTAGTTGATGTTACTCTGCCTGGCACTCACTTGGCACTGAGGATATAAAACAATGTATGCCGAACGTTTCAGGCTGAGCGTAAATAGAGAATCTCACCCAAGTGTCTTCTGATATCAATTATATCAACACGAGTTGATAAAGTTACAAATATCCGAGGCTTGCCGAGGATATTTTTACTTTTATCAACGAGTGTTGATATATTTGATATCAGAAGACACGAGGGTGAGATTCTATTTATCATCCAAAATCACTCTTCATTAATTTTCAATGAAAAATGTACATCTCTGAACATGGTACTGCCATTAGACTTGCAGTGCAGCGATGTCATAGCATTATGACGTCATCAAGTACATGACGCCATAGCATTGTCAGGGCATTGTACAAAATCTACTGTCAAAACGATATCTCCTAGGAGATATCGTTTGATTTCACACAAGCGATATCTCCTGTGGAACACAGTTTTGGATGATAAATTAAGTTCTGTTCTGATTGTTTGGTCCAGACTGGCTGTCACTGGATTGTCCGATCCATACTCGCCGTAGTTAGTCTGAACGGCCCACAATCCTAATCACTGGATTATCTGGTCCGGACGCGATCGTTTGCAGGCAGCTGCCATAGACTAGAATAGTGTTAGGCGGCCTTTGGCAACACTTGCCTGTTTATGCAGATTGTGTGTGTGGATGGTGTTAGCAGCAAAGCAGTCCTGAGATGCTTGCCTTTTTTGTAAGGTGTCATCGTTTATTTTCAGTGATATATATTCATATAATTTACTATTTATACCCATTGGCGACAGAATCCGTTCGATGGACGATCGTGAGTTCTGACGGTGACGTGATGTTTTAGTTTATCATTTTGGGTGGTTTTTTTTGCTTTTTTGTTTGTTTGTTTTGTTTGTTTGTTTGTTGTTTTTTGGGGTGTTTTTATTTCTTTTTTTTTCTTTTTTGGGGGTAGGGTTTTTGGGGTGGAAATTACAATCAAGCGATTGCCATTATGTAGTAGTAGTAGTTTTGGGTTGTTGTTTTTTTTGGTTTTGTAGTTGTTAGTAGTAGTAGGAGTAGTAGTTGTTTCGCTTTCGTCCCTATTCGCCCCTTTCCGTAACCTATCTCGGATCGGGACGAGTTGTCAGGCGACGAATGGGAGCGGGTGGTCAGGCTCGCTGACTTGGCTGACACATGTCATTGTGTAGATCGATGCTCGTGGTATTGACCACTGCCTTGTGTGGTCCATACTTGTGTGGTTATTTACAGACCGCCGCAATAGACCTGGAATATTGCTGAGTGCAGCGATAAACAACAACAAACAAAGGAGTTGTCAGAATACGAATCCCCGGTATATCACCCTCCGTGGCACCCACATGAAGTAGCCTATTGCTCGATCACACTGAAAACCCGGGCTTTAACCATCATCCATTGTTACCACAATGGTGCTAAAAACTGCGTTAAATCCAGCAACGCTCATTGAATTATCTTTAATGACCACAAGATTACTTATAACATTTCAACATGCAGGTTAATTACGGAGATACTTCAATTCGATTCTCCCATCGATTTAAAGACCACGAGCACTTTAAAGTCATTTTCTGTTCGACTCAATTTGTGTTCTATAAACTCATAACCTCATGGCGAGTTTGAAAAAAATCTTAGATTTAAATCATACCGCACTTCAATAGAATCTTTTTCGTCCACAGTGCTAGGCTGAATCTCTTGAATCATTTAGTCCGCTTTCTCCAAGTGTTCCGATCTGCTTTGAATTATCCTGTATTTTAAAGGAGAGGCGAACATCCCTTTATTCCTAGTCACTTCCAGTGACAGTGCTCTTTCTTCCTGGACCCGACACCGCTCACACTTATTGCCATAAGGGCTTAAGCAACTATAGGAAACGGGTTCCAATCGACAGAATTAGACAATGCAAGAATTCCCAGAAGAACTCTATGCCTTCCGGTGGACCATTACAGAAATTGTTAATTGAGCAAATGGAAAGTCTGCATAGAAAACCAACAAAAGGATTGTCGATTTTGAAACGGCGCGTGTTGAGTTACATGCCTTGTCCCTGGCTCACATCATGATTAGCTGGATATGGGAGTTCTTGGCTAGCAACGGCATTAACATCGATCCTCGTTGTCGCTCACGCGTAATTTGGTCAACTCTGAGACATTACAGGAGTCATTTAGCCTTTCTATCAACACATGCCCGTGTGTTGACTTTGTTACCACACAGACTTCAGATACAATGGCGCGATGGTACACACAAGGAAACCAACCTTCGCAGTAACCTCTGGGCATTCTTTAACGTCGTATTCCTGTACCTTTCTCTGAAGAACTGATCCAATTTTAAAAAACGTTACAGAGAAATAGCAATGGTGTATCTGTAACTCATTTAAACTTTAGATGTCGCCACAAAAGTCTTTCAAGTCCGCTCAACTTTCACGAAGTTAAGACTCACCAGCCACGGCAAGTTCACCAGGGTCATGCAAATGGTTGGAAGAAGTGTCTTGCTGTTGATGCTACTCGTTAGTTGAACTTGTCTAACCAATTAAATTGTTTGTTTAATTAATCACAGCGTTTTCACATTTGATTTTGTCCGTTACCCATCAACCATTTCAACAATCTCTGTATTCAAGTAATGGCTGTTTTTCTATCCCGTGAGATCATGATTACCGTTCAGCTTCTATTGTCAATTTTGATAAAGACATCAAGGTCCATCTGATAGGATCAGGTTCTATCGTTTAGTATCATGACACAGCATAGCTTATCAAGGTGATGTTACGTTTAAGTTTTCAGCCTTTATATCCCTATGAGGTTTAAGCTCGATACCGTGTAAAGTTGAGCCTGTCCTGTCACGGTTTAACGAACCCCATCAATTTCCAGCTTAACACCCTGTCAAGTTTCAACTTACCCGATCAAGGTACAGCTTTCCTGACCATGTTAGAAGACTTACAGGTATTACCATCTCCAAGTCGGTCTACTCTATCAAATTGTTGTCATACTATTCATGTGAGTGGGTGAGTATTATTTTACGCCGCTTTCAGCAATATTCCAGCAATATCACGGCGGGGGACACCAGAAATGGTGTTCAAACATTGTTCCCATTTGGTGAATCGAACCCGGATCTTCGGCCTGACGAGTGAACGCTTTACCCACTAGGCTACCCCACCGCCCCTACTTTTTAAGTTGTGAAATATAGCTACCAAAGATTGGAGATAGTGGAACATTCTACTCTACATGAAGGGAAAGTTGACTATTTGAAAATCGAAGCCTTTCTTTGTGTCATACAGTCTTGTGGATGGTATACATTTTCTCATTCCGACTCTTAATGCATAGATTGTAAATATGACACTGGTGAGAGCATGTCAAAAGCTTCTTCTTGTCATAATTCAGATGGGGACATCAGAGGAAGGAAATGAGTTATTTGATCATTACTGAACGAATTTAGATAATCGATATAGAAGAAGCCCAAGTATAAATTACCCAGTTTTCATTTTCCAATCCGAGCATAAATTGTCACCCGTTTACATAAAGAAACAGA